GCAAATTTTTAGGTTCACAGTTGAATTAATACAGTTATACAATATTGAACTCAGTATAAACCCTGTAAGATACAAAATTGAATGAGTTTTTACCCTTTAAAGATCTCCATTTCATGTAAAAATATACTGTTTCCTACATTTTTAATGATACTAACACTTAGATGTTTGCATGTGTGTTTAATCTCTGTGTATCTGATGATTACTAGTCATAGTCTGTTACACTTGGATCCTTAGTACCCGAGTATGGATATAAAGTTATCAGGTAGATTTTACTGGTAATGTTTACTATTTAACATGAAGTAAATTTTTATGCTTCCTCCTCAAGTATGTCTTTCTCTTTTTAATTTGTTGATTTTTCTGTGTGTATATCATACAGAACATCCCACACAGTCTTAGACATCTGTATACCCACTTCCCAAATGGCACCCTCCCATAGCCTCCCCACACCCATATACTGGAGCCCATATACTCTGTCATCCCTGTTACTGTCCTCTGTGTTGTCTTTTACCACTTCAGTCTATGTGAAGATAAGTCAAAGGTCCTGCTTGACCATGGCTGGCTTCCTTGGAAGCATGGAAGAAATGTTTCCTCTGTGTTGACCCTCCTCTTTGTAGATGGGACACTGGTTCAGGTCCATCTGGTGGGGTCTCCATGACCCCCTTGCTCAAGAGGACAGGTGACTCACCACAGTTACAGGATATTTTGAAAGATGTTCATAGTCCCCTGGAACTTAGTTGACCTTGAAGGGCAAGGAGCGAAAAACTGTCCTTTGAGTCCCTCTGACCAGATTAGTGTAGGCCTCAAAGTATGGCTGTTAAACATCCAAGGTTAGTTCCACCAGTCTGATACTTTTAATTACCATATGCCATGTAGATAGAGCTTGGGCAAAGACCAAATGCTTTCAGATAAACCTTGCCTAGGCATATGTTACATTCTTTGATCTGGTTGTATGTGTGTAATTTGTCAGTGATTGTTGGCCTAATATGGTTCCCTCTGGTTTTCTAAAACTAGCTAGGCATTGTTTATCTCTCACATTGTTTAACCCTTCCATCATGGTTTCCCCATTTAAGGTGCCCCTGTGTTTTCCATTTCTCCCTTAATAATACCCTTCTATGGTCCTACCTCTCTTGAGCTCCTTCTTTCCCTTTATCCCCTAGGTTCCTTGTATAACTTTCCCTCTCCCCTCCCCTTAAAATAACCCCATTATTGTCCATATCTCCTTTGTTAACACCTGTTTCCTATTGTTCTCTTTCATATGCTTTCTTTTCCTTTACTTCCTGGTTTCTCTTCATTATCCTGGTTCCAGTAATTATGTCTGGATACATATTCACTTATAAGGATTTGGTGCTAGGATCCACATATGAGGGAGAACATATGCCGGTTTTTTTTTGTTGTTTGTTTGTTTTTTCTGAGTCTGTGTTACTTCACTTAGTATAACAGTTTCTAGTTCCATCCATTTACCTGCAAATTTCAT